GTCTTTGAGCAGGTCACACATAGCAATGATCCCCACAGGAGCGAGCAATTTCCGTCTGATCTCATTGGATTTGTCAATCTACAGAAATTGTTGGCAAGTGGAAAATCAGGGCTTAAATCATGCAGAGTGAACTCATTATTCAAATGGTTTGTTGTTGCTTTGGCTGGTTGGTGTGTGTGAGAACAGAGCAACAATAACAATATGCCTATTATGCATTTACACATCAAAATAATGCAGTGTTTTATTAATGGGTGTTTTTTTCTTCACAGGAACAACGAGGACAATCTTGACTTTATGAAATCTTACCAACCTCGAAACAAGGATGTCAAACATCTCAGAATTCTGATTCATGGACAAACTGGTGCCGGAAAGTCCAGTTTCATCAACTCTGTTGAAAGTGTTTTAAAAGGCAGAATTACTGGCCGAGCTTTCACAGATGCCACCTCTGGGAGGAGCTTTACAGAAGAAGTAGGAATAACTGTTGAATGTTTAATAATTCTTTGAGAATTTTATAGGGGTTAAAACATATCAAAAACTGAACATAAATTTAAACGTAAAATTGCATTAAGCGTCTGACCACATTCAGCAAGACAAAGACAAAACCAAAACGGTGAAGAGCAGGCTCATTAAGTGAATGGTGATCACAAAAAATTATTAACAAAGACCACGAGCCAACAGCCACAAAGTCCCTCCACTCCTTCTAAAGTCCAATGTCATCTCCAGTTTTGAGCGTGTTAAGTTCCAAGTTGTTCTGACCACCAGAGGACCAGCTGTTCAACCTCTCGCCTGAATGCAGACTCACCACCGTCTTGGATGAGGCCGATGACTGTTGTGTCTACTGCGAACTTCAGGAATTTGACATTAGTGTAGAGGGAGAAGAGCAGTGGGGATAGCACACACCCCAGGGGGGTGCCAGTGTTAATTGTCTAGATGCTGAATGTGATGTTCCCCAGCCTCACCAGCTGCCTCCTGTCGGTCAGGAAATTTGTAATCCACTGACCCGCTGTGTTACACAAGAAAACATCCTTGCTGCAACAATCCCCTGATACTTTGGTCCCAGTTTATCGTTGTTTTTGTTTTTCTGCAAGTATCTGACTAATGACAATTGCATCGATTAAGACTGTTCACATCCACTAACAATCAAGTCAACTATTAGGGGGCAGCCCTAGTATGAAGTAAGACCTCAGTGCTTCATCCTGTACATAACTAGGCCATCCATTCATGGTGTAGCTCCACACCTTGCTCAGTACAGGATCTTTCAAAGTAGCTCTCTTAATATTTTTGGTACACACTGGTAGCTTCTCCACATGTGAGAATTGGACAATGCTTCCCTCTTTTGCTATGTTGTCTGTCAAGGCTCGGGGTAGGCGTGAGAAAGCATCAGCGTTTTCATGATCAGCTCATTTCTTGTATTTGATTTTCAGCAGTTGTATGATATGGGAATGAGAGCCCAGCATTGAATCCTTAATGCTGCAAGGGTTGGAATTGCTGATTGGCCAGGAGTGGCTTATGATCCATGAGGAGTGTTTCTACCGTACAGATATTTGTGGAATTTCTAATGTCCTGTTTAGAAGCAGCAGTTCAATCATCTTGATGACCAGGGAGTGGACATTTGCCAGATGTACTGACAGTTTGTGACACTGTCTCAGCTTCTATGGCGGCCCTGGCAAATCCCATGGAGCTCTGCTGCTCATCCAACTAATAACTCCGTAAAACTTTCTGTTTGAATGAAAACCAGTGAAAAAGTTGACCAGTGGATAGTCTGGTGTTTAAAAGATCCTCTTTGATGAATGTGACCAGAGAGGGGAGACCAGAAAATTTAACAAAAACTTTACACAATATATAAAATGTGTGCAGAAATAACAAATCCTTGTTTCTTACTTATTTTCCAGCTTTACATCCAGTTAAATTGTAGGCTAATGTGTAAACAGGAAGTAAGTAAGTACCATCACGGATGTATTATAAGAGCTGGATACTGGAATAAAACGTGGCACCCATTCAATTATGTGAAAATTGCTTTCTGAGTATGTTCAAGTTTCATAGCCTCCAGGTTTACCTCCGCATACTAACATCTCAAAGCTGAGCATGAATAGCAAAATAGTAGATATTTGTGTTAGTGGAATTAGCTAACATGATGGAAATAACTGTACCTTCTTCTTTACAGTACACAACCTACAAAATCCAAAAAGATCCAGAGAGCTATTATTCCTTTATTTTCAATGACACCATGGGCCTTGAGAAATACAACACACATGGAATTCATGTGGAAGACATCCAACTTGTCCTGAAGGGACATGTGAAAGAGGGTTACCAGGTATGATCCTTTGAAAGCTGAGATTATTTAATGTGGCTCTGTGGGGTTTTCTTGAAACTACTAAGCATCCATGTTTAGTACTGCAGGTAGCAGTCCCCATCTTTCCTGACTTTGCATTGCTGTATTTCGGGTGCATTACCACCACCTAATAGACCTGTGGAATAAGCTCAAATCATTGGCAGGAATGTGTATCCCATGTGCATGTACATCCTTCTGCATGTCCACAAGAAAAGCATAACTTAGAGAAAAACTGCTCCAAAATGTTTTTATTATTTTGCATTAAACACATTTTTTTACTTAAAAATGCATTAAAAACTACTTAAAAATTCATAAAATTGCATTATTTTAATTTATTGTTTTCTAGTTCAACCCCAAAAACCAGTTGACGAAGAGTGATCAGCACTACAAATCATCTCCCACGTTGGATGATAGAGTTCATGTTCTGGTTTCTGTCTGTCCTGCTGACAAGGTGTCTTTATTAACTGATGAAGTTATAAAGAAGATGAGAGACATCAGACTAGCAGCCAGTAAAATGAGTAAGAGCAGGCATCAGTTGTTATTACTGTGCTCAGACTGTTAAAAATAATTTTAGAAAAAAAAATTTAAATACCAGCAAAATAAATGATTGAAATACTGACTAGGTTTCTGTATCGGCAGAGATTCCCCATCTGGCTGTCCTCACTAAAGTTGATCTGGCCTGTCCTGAGGCCAAAAAAAATATAAACAACGTCTACAAGAGCGACTACCTGAAGAAACAGGTATGTTTCTGTTGGTGGCTTGGGGATTGTGGTTAAGAGGAAACAAGAATCTCGTTTGGTCATCACTTTGCAATTATTGATCAATGGAGATGCTGTTACTTTAAAACTTAGGTTGAGAAATTCAGCGAGACACTGGGCATTCCAGAGAACTGCATCTTTCTTGTGAAGAACTACAACTCAGAAATCGAGACGAATGATGACATTAATGTGCTGATACTGGTTGCACTGAGACAGATGGTCAATTTTGGAGAAGACTTCCTCGACAACCTGTAGACCTACATACTGCTGAAGCAAATCTTGCATGATTGAAAGAATTTTAAACTGTAATTTACATGGTTTTATGATGATTTTTTATTATCATAATTCATCATTATATCATCATATCATTGTTATTTAATTCGTATAATATTCACTTTATCATGTGATTCTTTATCACAACCTTCCTAGTCAAATCGGAATTTTTTCTCAAAATGTATCTTATTGCTTGTTATTTTACTTTGATGAATAAAGTACTGTATTAGTAAGATGTTCAAGACCTGGATGTGCAAAAAGGATGCTTGTTTATGTGAAATAAAAATGTGTTAAAACATTTGTTTTGTGTCTATATTTCTTATTATTTTAGCTGCAGCGGACAAAACCTCATGGCTGTATGGATAGTAAAAGCAAAATTTGCATTTAATGTATGTATGTAACCAAGACTAGGTCTAAACCTAGTATATTGGCTGGACCGTGTATGGTCAGTGGTAGTGTCTATAATGTCAATTCCTGGATTTTAAATGTTAATTTACAATTTTCTGTGGTCCAAGTAATATTTGTTAAGCTACGTTAAAGTTAAAAGCAACAAAACACTTTCCACCTATTTTTGAATATGTTTGAAAGATAACTGATTCCAACTATTTTAATTATCTATTAACTCCTCTTTCTCTTTCTTGTTTCTATTGTTTTCTGTTTTTTCTATGACACATGATGAAAAAGTATTGCATTCACGTTTTTCTTAATAAACAAGTTTCCTCTAGCACACTCTCCATGCCTAGGGCCATCTCTCAGACCCCTGAGTCAAATCCTAACCCAACCCTCTAAGGAATATGCCATGAAGTCCACACCGCAGCCAAAACTCAGCCCGATATGATCAGTTTTGCAAGAGTAGAAAAACAGATTTTGAAATTGGAGAGGTAAAAATAGAAGTGTTAACATTTATTTGTGGAAGATTGTAAATGTATGTCCACTGACAATGCTTTTTCAACTGGTGTATTACAACCTGACTTGTTCTGAATGGGTCTCTGAGTGTGTGGTCAAAGAAAAAAACTAGTGCACTAGTGGTTGGTGGCTGTGGCAAAAAGTCAGGTCAGGAGGAAAACCAACCTACAGCGTCATTTTATGTTACATTAGTTGGCTACTTATCTATAATTTCTTCTTCTGAAGTGACCTAGATGGCGAATATTGATCTAACGTGACATAAAAGTCACATTGATTCTGATATGACATGTTGCAAAAAAACAGACCTGAATCTGATTTGGACCACATATGAAAGTGGCCCAAATCAGAAATGAAAAGATCAGTGCTGTTCACACAGTCATAAAAAAATCTGTCACATATTAAGAAAATCAAATTTGGGTCACTTTGGCCTGCAGTCTGAATGCGACCATAGTGTTATTTTTATCCCGCTCTTATTAAAGATGTATTTCCTTTCTCATTATATGTGCAGAAAATAGGGTTAGGGGGGAGAAAGACCAACAGTGGTCTCACCAAAAATAGCATAAACTCAATCAGTCAAACAATGAAAAATGACAAACAGTGAAGCACAATAAGACAAGAAGAACATGTGAGACTTGCTGGAAGCACAGAGAGAAAACACATTAAAAATACTGCAGAAAATATAAAACACACAGAAACCAACTGGATTCAACACTGGACAAACAACTCATAACTACTAGAACTAGAAGCATGTTTATTGGTTTACATCCCTTGTTTAATTAAATATTTAACTAATTACTGAATATAATAACTCCTCACAGTGTGATGCCTCATGATATATATCAATAAGATTAAAATTATAGCAGGAAAAAGTCACAAAATGGACAGTCAGTATAGGACTAGAATAAGTCAATTTTGTATTATTATTATTTTTAATATTCAAATATTTAGAGCAGGTAAGGTTATTAGCTAGATAATATGAGTTATTCTCCCCCAGTCCCAGTCAAGATAGTTTTACATTCGTTTGTATATGTAGATGACTCTCTTGCAGGACGAACAGCGATGCTCTACATCTTGACAGGAATCAATGCAGAACGGGATACAGCAGCAAAGAAAACACCTGTAGGATAAAACAAAGTGGATGGTAACTTTCTAGTTTTGTTCCTGAAGTAATAATAGTTTGTAAAACAACATTTTTTTGTTTCAGATTTTTAGTTTAAAATGATAGAAACTAGATGTGCAGCACGTTTCTAGCTAAAAGGTTGTTTTACCCAAAGAGGGCGAGTCCACCGCAGATGGCCCATGTCATCAGGCCGGCTGTGTGCTGTGTCTGGGTGATCACTGTCTGCTGGCAGTGGGGACACACAGTTTGTCCTGGGACGTCATGTAGTGCAGGTGATACTACTAGGTGAGCCACTGTGGAAGAAAAAACACACACACACATAAATTAAAGGTGTCCAGAGATGTTGGAAGTCATCCATCTTGTTTATATATATTCATATATCATAAAGAATATATGCTTTCATAGCCTATTGATGTGATCAACCTAGTGATGTGATTGTCAGAAATGACAAATAAAAGAAGAGAGGGTTTGGGGCACCCTGGTAGCTCACCTGTAGAGCTAGTGCCCCATGTACCAAGGCTAAGTCCTTGCTGCATGGGTTTGACTCTGACCTGTGGCCCTTTGCTGCATGTCATCTCTACAGCTGTCACTATAGGCAATAAAAGCCTCCAAAAATAGGGGGGTTCTGTGGATATGATCAGTGCAACTGAACTAAATACTCTTTTAATATGCCTTTAATGGAAGTGAAAGTATTTTTGCCAACTTGTGCCTCCTGCTTACCAACACGGCCACATAGTGTCTGTGCAGTACTAGATTTGAGTTACCATGCACACACATAACACCTCATTTGGGTCAGTGCAGGCAAAACACATAGTAATAGACTAGTTGTAACAAAGGTATAAATAGCAAATTAAACTAAGTAAAAGGCTAAAAAAAAAAAAAACAGTTCTGAGAAGGTTCAGTGCACCAACTGCAGGTACCTATTTTTCTCTTTTCACCAATTTTTGTTTGGCCCCATGTTCTATTTCAGACAGAAACATATTTATTTTTAAAGTTATTTTTTTGGCCTTTTCATGCCTTTATTATTAGATAGGTACAGCCAAAGATTCAGATTCCTTCAGAACTGGTCTTTCATTGGTAAGATGCAAATATTTGTACCTTCAAGGGATTAGGATTTTCCTTTTTATGATTATCACTTTTGATTTAGCACTTTTTATTAAAGGATTTCATTGATATGGGCATGTGTGACAACTTAAAGTGAGTGAAGTTATATACTTTCCACTTGGCTGTCATTACCAGATTTGAGGACAAAACATATCAACTGCACTGACTCAACAAGACCAGCAGAGGCTGCCAACAGTACATCAACTATAATCTGATATGGAGAGTCAATTTCTGTCTGTTTATAGTGCCTGTCAGGAAATTTAAGCCACTGAGGCATCTAAACTTAAAGTGTGTTGTTGTTTTTATTGAGTAGTGTGAAAGTCAGACAGACAGTAATGCAAACAATACCTAAAAATGTAAATCAATGTGAATTTGCCTGCAGTGCATTTGAGCTGTATTAGTGTGACATATATTTTTTATATGTGTAGTCCATGTGAAGAAGTAATATACCTGTGATAGAAACCCTGTAAACTCAAAGTGTGACTGTATTCCAGAAGAACAAACAGAGAACAATAGCTTTTTGTTATGCACAGAGGCCACAAATGGGCTATTCTTCAGATCACTTTGGTGGGAGACTGAAGACTTCAACCACTGACTTTGTGACACATTCACAAACTGGAACACAGTACCATCCATTTCACATATGTGTTTACAGTTTTATGTACTCTATGTGTGGGGTCTAAACGTGTATACAAATGGTACAACAATGCGCGTATCTCTGTTGTGTTTTACGCAGGAAAGCATTATTCTGGGACACGTGCATTGCCTTACCTTGTGTGACAGGTGCAGCAGGGGCCTGAGCAAAAGGAGCACCTGGCAGATGAAACACACAGTTTACCAAAGAAGGAAAGGACAAAACTGATATTTCCTTAATTCATCTGTCATAACATAAACGTATTTGCAAAAAATAAATGCAAGAGCATTATAATACTACTTTATTTTTGAAAGGGACCTATAATGCTTTTCCTCTGACATAAATGTAATGTCACAATGTCAGATGTGGATATAAAACGAAACCAAAGTGTCAAATAAAGAGGTAAAAGTATTTAAAAGTAATCCCTGGGAGCAATAAGCACAGAATTCAGACTGCCCTGCAGTGTTTCCAACCTCTTCTTCTTCTTTATGGGATGAGCTGACGCCGTAAGGTTCAAGTTTTTGTATGCAAAAGTGATTTACATATGTTGTGGTTTACGGTTATGTCCAGAGTTTACTGGTGGATATACTAGCCTAACTTGTTGCTGTTAGCTAAACCACTAGCATGAGGCACTGGTCATTACAGTGGTCCATTCATTTGCATGCCAGTATAAGATAAATACGGATGTTTTTGAAAAGGGAATTTGCAAGCTACACTAGTGTAGCCTAAGTCTTTGAATACAGAGCTGTACATGAACATAATAGGTTCCCTTTTTTGTGGATAATTTATGTTATGTGTTTGTATATGGTTATGTTTCTTACATGCCTACCCAAAGCATAATTTAAGAACAAAGGCCTATGTGTTATTTCTTTCACTGAAAAGGTGTGAAATACTGTTGTTAGGCCTCAAAACCCTGGTCAAGGTCACAATGACTAATGACGTCTCCAAAGTAACAGTATCATCTTTTAACCCGGGCAGATACAGACCTCCCTGGTATCCAGCAGGTGGAGGTCCTGCAGGGAAGCCCGGCTGAGGGTACATCCCTGGCTGGGGGTACATGCCTGGCTGAGGGTACATCCCTGGCTGAGGCCCTGGACCCCCGTAGTTCATAGGTGGCCCAGGATATGGTGGAGCTGATTCCTGTGGTGGGTATCCTTTTTCCATTTTCAGAAATCTTAACTGAGAAATGTGTAGGCTATTATTTATCTTTTAATTTCAATCAACTAGTTTTCAAGTTATCACATATGGGTTTACACTTATAAAAATAGATTTGACCTTTACTGGAGTGACACAATCTAATATGTTGTGAATAGGGATGAGCTTCAAAGGCCCTCCAACATCCCCCTTGAAAGCATGATGGCCATTCATCCATCCGTTAGCTTTACAGTGTTTGATGTATTATATATAAATGATTGACTGGTTTTGTTTCCCGTATATTATTTTCATTTCCCCAGTGTAATGTTCCCAATGGTATTGCTGCCACAACAAAGAGTGAACACTTTTTTCTACTATTCTTCAATGAATATTACCTAAAAGTGTTTTAAGAAATTAAGTATCAGATTAGACTGGTTTACTGAGCTTTATTGATTTCATTTATAAACAGTAACAGGCAGAAGTGAAGAATTGTAAAGTTTCACTGTTGATGCCAACAACTTTCACACATTTAGTTTTTACACTCTAACCACACGTTTCACATCCTCTTTGCAGTCCACACATGTGTGAGCATTCATTAGCTATTGCCACATTAATATCACTTAAAAACAATGCTGATAGCAGTGGCTCAGTCTGACCATAAAACAATAAAGCTCCAACGTGGAGGATTCAGTGGCATCGAAACTGCAGATTGCAACCAACTGAATACAGTTCTGCCTTCCAAGCACGTGGGAGAAATACTGCACTAATTTTGTCTGTTTGCTGTTTGGTGCTCGGCAGCTAGAGTACAGGGAGCAAAAATATAACCAAAAACAATGCAATGAGAACAGTGAGAGGGAACCAGCACAGTAAAGTTTCCCACAGCAAACAATGAGCTGAAACTCACTATGAAGCTCGAGGCGATTCAGGTTTCAGATCAAGGTGTGTTCATCACTACGAGCAACAGCTTTCAACTGGATTCACATTTGATACATTGTTATTATAAAAACCTTTATTTTAAAGGCACTTTAAGTAAAAGTAACACTGTAAAAATACTAATACATTCCTAAATTAAATATGCTATGATGATATTTTTTTTTGATTGAATTGTCAAAAAAGTTGTCAGTGGAGCAAAACATACAACATTTGCCACTGAAATGTAGATAAGTATAAAGTAGCAAGTAAATTGCAAGTACCTTAAAACCAAAAGAAGGGTCAAACTGTAGTATTACCACAGTAGCTGCCGGAAGTAGTGAAGGGCAGTTACCGTAAGGGTCGTTAGTTTAAAGGGAAAGGCACTGAGCAACTCAGCGGCGGTTTAGTAGCACTTTGCTTTGATAATGTTGCCCCACACCCTTCCTGATTCCTTACAGCCTCCTTTACTGATGCAATCAATACGTTACTGCAGCTGTGTCACACTTAGTTGGTCATGCAATACATCAGCATCAGCGGACTCGTGCTGTATTTTGCTAAAACAGAAGAATGTAGTGCCACAATGTATGCTGGCCAGTCTGTTGCTCATGAACGTTTTTTGGGACCTATCATAAATCCATCCTAAATCGATTAGAGAGACATGAGCCACATACACCGATGAGGCACTTAAATCCACCACAGTATTGCACTCAGTATTCAGTATTGCACTTGTGCCTCGCCCTGTTTTGTGTGAACATAGTGACTGGCTAAGGAATGGACATTAGAATACGCAGTTCTATGTTCACATTCTTCATTTTTTTTGCATCTGGTCTATACAGTAATGGAATAATAATACCAGCTAAATTAGGTTTATCAACATTAACACTGAAATTTAACACTGAAAACTGATAACTTTACCACAATAACAACAGCAGCTGATCATTATATAACTACAGATGTGTAAAAGAAGATTTACTTACTTGTGACTGTCCATCCAAAAAAGAGAGACAGTTAGGCACCCTCTTTCTGAGCTGATTGGTCCTGAGCGAGGCTGGAAGAAACACAGTAAAAACCAAGTTCAAACGGAAGAAAGATTGTGAGGTCGGAACAGGGCAGGATTAAAAACAACTAAAAAAATGCAAAGCCATAAAGGTAGTATTATTCTGTAGCCTTCTTCCTTTATATCGACATAGTGGAAATGCTGTGCAGTTGTACAAGTTGGGGGAGTGCCCCTCCCCTTTCTCCTCCCATTTTTCTGGCCTGGGTCTGAAGCTTTTTTTATACAGAAAATAAACAGGATAGGCCTACTATTACAGAGTTTGTTCAAATGATAACCAGTATGATAGAGTCACAAATACAGAGCTCAACAAAAAGAGAGGGAGAGTGACGTGGGTTTTCTAAGAACAAAGTGCTCTTTGTCGACTTAACATAATGCCTATCATTACATCCTTTCAGTCCGCAGTCCGGACAAATTCTTTTCTCTTTTTTTTTTGACATTTAAGAATGCATACATGTTTAAAGTAAGTAATTACTGTTACTCAGACCAAACTTTGTGTATAAGTGGGGTTTTCGCTTTCCATTCTCTCTGTTTGTCGACTCCCCCTCTGGTTTCCTGTGCATTCTCTCAGTGTGACTCACTTAATGGGAAACATGTGAGGTTTGTGTTTGAAAAAAAAGAAAACCTCAATGCTTTCCACAACAACTTTAGATAACGTCATATTTTAGCTTCTTTTAAAAGGAGAAGAGTGAGATCTGTATATATATCAAGCTGTGTTGTGTCCACGTCATAACCCACTCTGTTATGATGTTTCCTGATTATTACATTAGTACATTAGCTGTCACCATGTTCTACTTCTATACATACAAGAGAAACATTTATGATAAAATGACATTGCAATAGGTCCAATTAAAGGTTAAGTCCACCTGTCTTTGTAACTCATTAAAGAATCATTCACCCATGATGTGTTACAGCTGTATTAATTTGTGAGTTTTTTCACAAATCATTCAGGCCACTATTAATATAAAAAGATATATCAAAAAAATACAAGTGTATTCCTGTCTGTGTTTGTTGTTTGTCTTACTTCTTTATAATTGACCTTTTATTGTCCTCCTCTACTTGTCTTCACTTGTTTTGTGGTGTGATTTGCAAATCTAGACAGGAAAGATTATTTATAAATGTCTGTACACATTTCACAAACATGAGAACATTCCCGATCAGCCAAAATAAGTTAAATCACCTGTGTGAGTGAACAGCAGAACCTATAAATGTGACCTTTCAAACATTTTAGGAAGTTGTAGTGTTTCACTGCACACACTGTAGTATTTGTTATGCAAATTACATAATTCGGAAATTACAAAAGTACATAACTTTCCAGTAAATCTTTTTTAATTGCTTCCCTTAGCACATTCATGATCTTGCAAAACAGTCAAATTCACGTGAAGATAAATGGCTTCAAGCAAATAGTATTGGAATGAGGAAAACATTCAGACAAATAACAATTCTGTAAAAATAATTATGAATGGTACTGCTCTGCCCAAGCAAGATTCTCTGGAGCTCATTATTTCTCACTATGTCTTGCTCTCTGGTGTGTTTTAAGGATACACACTGTTTCACAATGTGTGTCTGTGCAATCTTGCTTATCCAGACATTCTCTCCCCCACACTAAGTGAATGTGAATGAGCTGAACACATGACTTTGACACATGAAGGCCTGATGACTCTTCAGGATGCGGCGGAGGATACACAGAGGCCACAGGATAATCACAAGAACATTACCCATTGCATCTGGAATTCACTGCATTACAGCTACACTGATAAGGTGGACACTGGAAGTTACTGCTTGGCCTTCAAATCCAAAGATTGTCTATTTTGTTTGCCACTAGAGGTCAGTATAGTTGCAGCATTTCCTTCCTTCCTAGGCAGGGAGAGCAGGATGTGGGGTCAGTTTACATGTTAAGGACCCTTCAGCAGGAAAAATACCAGAACACACACAGAGCGACTCTCACTATGCCAGCCAAGAATTGCCTGACATGAAGAAACCATATTTTCTTCTGAATCTTTCAATGACACATTTTTTGTGAATGCCTGATTATTGATGTATTTGATGCAGTTTTTATACTAAAAGATCTCCTTAAAAAGCTTAAAGATCCCTTTCCAGACATGAATTAAGACATATATACAAATAGTCTGCTTCAAACAATAATGTGTGTCTGATATGTTCTTTCCATAAAAAAGTATAATTTCCACATTGAAGTCCCTAAAAGAAGCATCTACTCCTTCAACCTCATTAAAAATCTTTGAATATTTTCTTGTGATAATCCTGTGACCTCTGTGTATCCTCCGCCACCTGAAGAGTCATCAGGCCTCAAGCAAGATGTTTCCTACTTCACTGGAAAGGCTATTCAGTTTCAGTTTATGTGAACTGGTGGCTTTAAGTTTCTATGTTCACCACTAGACTTTCAAACTGTTACGCTTGTAGGCCCCGCCCCTTAAAATCATGTTTTCAGTGTGCTCACTTTCATCAGATGAATGTGAAGACATCCATCTAGTGTTAAACTCTGCCCATACATCATTCTGCACAGTGAAAATCAAAAATCCAACTGTAGGAACAAGAAAAAAAACATATTTAGGAGTGGAGGGGGACTTTAAGTTTCAGTGTGCAACACTCTCTTATACCAATCAATAGTACACTGCTCTACACTAGGGTGTGTTTGCACTAAGCAGAACCAGTTTAAAAGTACAGGTAATTACTTTTAAACTGGTTCTGCTTAGTTTGAAACAATGTCTTCAAATGTATCCATATTAGTGCGCTAATGACCACAGTCATATTGAAATGCAAGTTTTGATAATGCTTTGGAAATGTAAAATACAATTTAATCAATTTAATCAATGTGCAATATATGACTTTTGCAGTGGTCATATAAGATTTACTCCAATTTTACTATTATCTTAGTGGTGGTAATCAGGAAGTCAAAAGTAAGAAAGAAAGAATCAGTGTTGCAGAACACAGTGGGATAAACTAACATTTCAGGATCAGAGGTCAGTGCTGGTGTGTCATTGTCTCCAGTGATCCACAGCTCCATCCCCATGTTGCCAGTCTTCATGGATCAATTGCTTTGACACTTATTTCATGCTCTGAAGTTTCAGGACAAAAACCTCTTATTTCAAGTTTAGACTTGCATCCTGGTATATTCTCAACCTTATCTCAGGATAAAATATCTAATTCTTTGGTTTAGACTTTTGTTGCATGAGAGACAGACAGAGAGAAAGAGGTGCAGGACAAGATTACAAATGCGTGTGTATATGTAAAGGTCTGCAGATTCACAGTTCACAATGTAGTAGTAGTATGAATTTTGGAATAAAACGTATGAATTACTGTTCTTATACTGTATTTGTGCAATGTTGCACAGGTATGATGACTTTTCTGATGATTCATGATAAAAGGTCAGCTTCCCAGATGTTGTAGGTTGTATGTGTATCAACAGCACCTGTCTGACTACATTTCCTTGTTACTGCCATCTTACCACTTGTCACTGATATAGTATATTATTTTATTCTGAAGGAACAGCCTCATCCTTAGTTTCCAGTTACTTTCTGTGTATTTTATTTTGAAAAAGTTGGTGCATAGCCTTGCCTCTGTGTGTGTGTGTGTGTGTGTGTGTGTGTGTGTGTGTGTGTGTGTGTGTGTGTGTGTGTGTGTGTGTTGGTTGTTAGTTGGTTGGACCTCTTGTCATCCAGGACCAAAAGTTTAAGTTTGTTTGATTCACATGAGTTACATGTGTACACCAGCACAAATCTTCCTATTTGTTTTAATGTACAAATAATGTCTTTAGAGGAAAATGTGTGGGAACGAGAGCAAGTTGAACCTCTCACAATCAAGCCACACGTTTTGATGTATTTTTTGTGTATGTGCAAAGCTACGGGAGTAGATACACGCTTAAAAAAAACATACAGAAGAAGAAAAAGATGAAATAAGTATGGAGATGAACAAGCAGTGTTTTTTGCACATTCAGGCACACTGAATTATTATTTTTTTGTCTTTTTTGCCATTAATGGACAGACACAGCTGAAGAGACACAGGAAACTGGGAGAATAAAATATAATAGAATAAACTTTATTGTCCCTGAGGGGAAATTTGTCTTGGGCAGAGTGCTGCAGTTTGTTGCTTCACAGAAACAAGCATACCTCAACAACAGAAACACATCTAAAAAACATAAAAAGTCAACATAAAAACATCTTAAAACATGGAAGACACTACATTTTTACACAATGTGGCAGCTTAAATTGGAATCAAAACATGGGTCGCTGCAGTAAGGACCTGGTTCACATACACACTACTCTTTCTACCTGGACATCTTTGTTATTCTCACTTAGACAGACAACAAGAAAATGTGAGAATTGCAGCACGCCTAGACCTGCTGCTACTTTCACAACTGGGACGCCCACTGATACAGGAAGCCCTGCTTCAGTCGAATCCCAGACTTTACTGACATACTATCACATGTATTGTTGTTATCACATGTATTGTTATTATCAAATGTATTCCGCCCTCGTCTCAAAACTTCATCTGTAACTGTTGTTTTATGTGGGATATGTATTCAAGAACGGACACACCCAAAAAGAGAGATTTCCTTAGCTACCCTCTCTCTTTCTCTTCAGTGAGCTAAAACCCCTAATCTTTTAATAACAAGTTAAATAATGTGTTTCTTTTCACAGTGTACCTTCCATATGTGTGTTGGTTAAATAACTGGTGTTGTGAGTGTGATAGAAAGGTTGGTAATGACTACAAAGAAGGGACAAAGAAGGTACAGAGGCAGGGAGGAGGGCCGAAAAAATATATGTCATGTTAGCCTTAGTTCTGCTAAAATAAACTGTCAGGTTAATGATTAATGTAAAATAATCTCACCTACAGCTGGCATACTCTTTTTAGGGTAGGCCTATATGAAGGTTGGAGGGGAAGCTGCAGCGAGAGGAAGTGGTTTTTTTTACTTCCAAAAGTGTTACGCTGAGCTGCTGCAGCCAGAGACATAGGTGGTGAGTACAGATTTACTAAAATGCTCTTCATTTCTTTGCATGTATTATTAATTAACTCATGTAGCAGTGTTTGAACCAACTTCAGTCATGGGTTTGCTTTAAATGCATGTTTATTATCCCTTTAACAATGTCGCAGAGGTAGTTATTCCAGGCATATATTTATTTAATGTTTTGCAAAAATGTATATATCTTTTATAAATCTGGGCCCCCTGCCCCTCGAACATCCTATGCACAGTAGCAGTATTTTTTTTTTCTAAATGAAAAATCTGCAGGCTCAAGGTAAAAGGTTGCAAAATGTTTTAAACAACAGCCAGTTTGAATGATGCTGACTATGATTTCACAGTCATTTGCTTATAAGATTCACATCTGTCGACAGAGCAACAACTGAGGTTTTAACGTCAGCCTCTTCATGGGGAGCAAGACAGCAGGGAAAATAGTGTCATACCGATCGCCAGAAGTTGCCAAGTCTAAAGTGCTCCTTGAGCCTTTTAACTTCCCAACTTTTACCCTTAAGTCCTGATTGGATATTTGACTTGCTCCAGTTTTATTTTTATAGATCCATCAAAGTGTGTGGGGGGAAAGTCCACTGCATATTAACAGTACTGCTGTATTACACCACTCTCATTTTAAACATAAAAAGTTCTGTTAATTATGTGAGTAGCCAAACATTTTGCAAACACTGTTAAAAGAGTAGTATAGGATCCAACAAGAACACACTGAAACATGGGCGAGAGGCAATATAATATGCATGTGGGTGTTTCAGTGTGTGTGTATGTGTGTGTGTGTGTGTGTGTGTATGTATGTGTATAAGAGAGAGAGATCACTTCAAGATTTTTTCTGAACAGCTCCTCATCCAGTTGTGCAACCACAACAACTCAATATACAACAGGTACAGAGCCTGTGTGCATTACTGCTGGTATGTGTAAAAACAATATAAACGTAAAATAGCTGTGATCTTTTGAGTGAGTCATGTTTCAGTTGGGAACTCACAATGTGCCATCTCTTCACTGATGGAATAAATTGAATTAATTTGACAGCTAATCTATACTTCTATGGAACCAGTGTCCTTGAAACAAAGGAACATGTGATAAAGCATCATCAACTGATTTTATGCTGCACACAGCATGAGGTACTACATTGTTGGAGTAAGTCTGAGGTCTGAGAACAAGAACTCCATTGCCAGCGACAACAGGCTTAACTGTAATCTCTCTGCATATGACAAATAAATAACTTGTACTAATTAATTTTTGCAATACTTTGTTCTATGTCTTGCAATGGAATCTCACTGTTTTCTGGTTTGAAATCACGATCAGAATTTGTTGTGCAATACTTTTTTCATAGTTTCAGTTTCAGTAAAAACTCCAAAGGCCAGGTTCTGTCTTGAATCTTTATTGGGAGTGTCTTTGGATTGTTGCATAGCTGTACAACCAACAACAACAACTGGTTTAACCAAACACAGCCTCCAAGAAAACTCCTGTGGATCATAACATTAAGCACAAACACACTTTAAGAATTGCCCATGACTGCTTTGCTGCCCTCTGGTGACCTTTCAGTTACAGATTGAGAGTTTCTTAAAATCCCAATTGATTTGGGGAGGCTTTTTTCATTGTGGGAACATTTTGACCTTGTTGTTTGACCCATATGATTGTGCCTCTGTAGCGCTGTTACAGCTGTGGGAACTTTGTGACCCTCAATGATTTGGTGACAGCTACTTAATTGTGGGAATATTGTGACCTTACATGACCAGTGATAGCTCTTGTACATACATCTGTCCTTGATTATGATTTCTAAATCATCATCCGATCAGAGGAAAATAAGTTTTAGACAGAAATCTGCCCACCATCTTAAAAAGTTAAATCTGAGTTTAAAGGTCCAGTGTGTAACATTTAGGAAGATCTATTAGCAGAAAAAGAATATTATATTCATTGATATGGTTTTCATAATCACCTGAAAATAATAAAAGTTGTGTTTTCGCTATCTGTTTTTATCTATAGACGCCGCAGGTCGCCTTTCATGGAGGCCATCATGTTGAACCACCATGTTTCTTCAGTAGCCCAGAAGGACAAACCTAACACTGGCTCTAGATAGGGCCATTTGAATTTTTCACGTATTTTGTGGCCACCCCACCCCCAGGGGTGCAAATAGGGCTTTAGTCAAGTTTATTACTGAAAAACCTTGGCTTTTGATCAAGTCTTATCGACTTGCAGTGAGGTTTCTTGAGACCAAAACCTGTATGGGTCAGGATCAGGTCTCAGTTTCATGGCTCTGATATTATATGTGATATTCATTGCTACTGTGTGTGTGTGTGTGTGTGTGTGTGTGTGTGTGTGTGTGTGTGTGTGTGTGTGTATTATTGAAGGAATGCAGCAATCACTTAATAACAACAATGTAAGTAACTTATCTTTCTCAGTGTGGTTACTGTGCAATGTCTATAAAGCCTCTTTTATCAGTATGATAAGAAATTATCTTAAATATTGTGTTTGCTATTATTTTAAATTTAACAAAAAGGCCTATTAACAAGGCAAGCTGTGTTTGTGCTGTGTTTGTTCACAGTCATTTAGTCACAAAAGCGTCCTGTATTTAGACTAAACAAGTTGATATACAGATACAGTGAGTATTGTAGTGTACAGTGAGTACATAATGGAGAAAAAATTAAACAGCCATAGTCCAGTCACGTTTGGCACAAAAGCGTAGAATACTTGAGTCTTTCAATATCTTTGTCAGCAATTATATTGTAGGACATTTAATCTACATGTTAACATTATATACCCACACTCTGAGATTAGAACCTAATTCAGAATTCCCTTCACGCATTAATTTCACATTTAGAAGTTCAATAGCTCATTCAAAGTTAGACAAGTGGACATTTTTTGTTGACTTCAGAACAGTTGGCAATAGACTGGTTTTAATTTGGAACAGTAATTTATAGCCATCAGTAGATTAGTCCATGTCTTAAAGGTTTTAATGTTAAAACAAAACCTAAATCTTAGCTCTTGTTTCTGTCTCTTTTCTTGCGTCTCACACCTACATTCTCCAGTGAAAGACAAATATTTGCTACCGTACTATGAAGCTCAATTCCTTATACGCCTCTGGTAACACATTTACAGATCTGAACTATTGATGGGCAGGAATGCCAATAAGTTAGCAAACATAATGGATGAGCAATAGAGTGAAGTGAGAGGCCTGACTCCTGTGTCATAAGGTGCAGTTTGTGATAACGAACTCATCACACCCTTGCGCATTGAATATTTGGCCATTGGCCAATCGAGGGAGAAGGTCTGATAGGGCAGAAGCAAGGGAGCGGCCAGAAGGTCCACATTCACCTGACTCTCTGTGTCTGTCATAGACATTCAGGCAGTACTTACGGCATGAGGGACTAGGACTGCCAAAAGCCAAAGAGCTATTGAAAGAAAATACAAAAAAAAACATTAAATCAAAAAGGATAGAGGAGACAAGCTGGCGAAGCGGTGAGAGATTGTCAAATTAAATATCTATCAATATCTGTCTAGACCCACAGTGAACCGACTGCAGGATTACAATCATCATGGTAACACTGGACTTCAGGACACTGACGGTGCCGGTGGGTATTGTGCGGATACTGGAGATGATCTTAACCTGCATTACCTTCAGCCTGGTGGCATCAGTCGGCCGCGGTATTGACTCCTTCTGGACGTGGTGCATGTTCACATGGTGCTTCTGCTTCTGCGTCACCTTCCTCATACTCCTCCTGGAATTCACCAGCCTCAGCTCTAAGTTGCCCATCTCCTGGGATGACTTCACTACCGCTTTTGCCATGTTGGCTACCCTAATGGTGGGTACTTTTTTTATTTTGTTATTTGTCTTTGCCCACAGATATTTCCAGAATCAACTTGTCACAGGTACATTTGTGATTAGCTACTGTTTCTGATTATTACTATCGTTGGGAATATTAAATTCTATATTATAAATGCATTTATGAGTATTTGAGCTTTGATAAAAAATAAGGATTTTTGAGAGAATACATTACACAATGTCATTTTAGTCCCAATTGAATTTACAAACCTAAACAGAGGGGTACCAAAGGTATCCAAATCCACATTACCTCTACAATTTGATGAATAAACTTAAACAGTCCCATATTGGGGCTTTAATTATGGGGGACTTTCATAAAGCCACAGCTGTAACTCCCCAAAACAGTTACTGATTTCACTTGTTTGACTGACTTTGAAATTAGACTTCTGTAAATACTATTTGGTGCTAAAAGATTAGTACAATATGGTTCTGAAATGTTCTCATAAGCCACGCTTGGTTCAACTGTGAGTACTGCACAAGAAAAAACAAACAAGAATATCTCAAAGAAAGCATAATTTCACACTTAATTTTGACCTATCTCTCATACAGATACTGGCAGCGTCCATCATCTATCCCATCTTCTTCGCTTGCTCTAACTGCGGCAAACAAATTGGTGCTACTGTTACTTCCTGTCTGGCCTTCATCCTGTACGCTGTTGAGGTTGGGCTAACCCGGGCTAAACCCGGTGAGCTTAGTGGATTTCTGTCCACAGTCTCAGGCCTCCTCAAGGTTCTGGAGGCCTTTGTGGCCTGCATCATCTTCATCTGCTTGGAGCCCACTCAGTACACTAGGTTTGCAGGGCTCCAGTGGTGTGTCGCTGTCTACTCCATTTGCTTTATTTTTGCCCTCGTTGTCATAATTTTTACCATCTGCCGCCTTCTGTCTCTCTTCCCTGCACCATTTGATAAAATCCTGATAGCCTGCAACGTGTTAGCAGTGTTGATGTACATCACAGCTGTGGTCATCTGGCCGTTGTACAGCTTCAAGAACAACCCAAGGCCGAGCTGGTGTGCGGCCGGGGGTCGGCTCGGGGCTGTTTGTCCATGGAATAAATTAGTGGTTATCTCTTTCATGACATGTTTTAACCTTGTTGCTTACATTGTAGATACGTTTTATTCTTTTAGACTGGTGTTCTTCGTCAGCAGAACATAGGTTGCAGATATGCCTCATATTTCAGCCGTTGCCAATCTTTGAAGTCCGCTGTAACTCAAAGGCTGGACATGAGCAGGATAATTGTATGTACTAAAGCATCCCCAGTACAACTTGTTAAATATGTTTTATTTCAATGTTGGTGGTGACCCAACACTCTTTCCAAACACTGTTTGTCCGAATAAGGGTAACTTTTATTTGTCATGATGACGCACAAATTGGTTTTAACTTCAGGGAAATGTAATCTCTAAAATAATTTCTCCTCTTTCCTTTTTTCTTCCTCCATGATTTTAATCTGATCTTTATTAATTATCTCATATTGTTACAGCATTGATGTGATTGTGTTAGTCTCAGTTGCAAACTCATTTAGTGCATATTCTTTTCAGCATGTGAAATATAAATAAACTGTGTTAAAAGGTCTGTGGTTCTTCTTTCATCCCCATGGGTGTCACTATTATTTGGTTGTTTTAAGTAACAAATAACACTCATGAATTAATGAATAAATCATAAATGAATACCCTGTTTAATGGTTAAATAGGTACAGTGGGGCCCACCCTGTCCTTCACAAAGGATGTTTGCAAAGGTGTGTCGAAGTGTGCATAGGTATAGCTATAGATTCCAAAACTCCACTCCCATATTTCTATAATGAGCAATGAGAGACGGTGGGGGGGGAACTTGTGCACGTTGAAGCTATTCATTGACTAGATGCTTTGACTGAAAATAATCAGCAACTGTTTTAATAATTAATAATTTCAGTAATTTTCGAGTTAAAAAAAAGGCTTTTATTCATCATTTATCACTGTCAATTAAATATCTTTGTTTTTGGGACTTTTGGTCCAATAAATTTGACATTTGAAGACATCATCTTGGGCTCTTGGAATTACTGATTTGACATTTCAAAGAGTACAAAACTAAACGATTAATCAAAAAATATCAGCAGATTCATCTATAATGAAAACAACTGTTAGTTGGACATGGCAAGTAACATTGGCCCCAATTATAATTATTATTTAAATCAGGACAGACAAGTGAATGAATGTTAATTATAACACACGATATTTGATGATTAAATCTAGACAGAAAGTCTTTGCCACTTAGACTCTCAGATTTCTGCCCTGGGCAACAAAAAGATACATTCCCCACATGGAGTCCAGACACTGGCTATGGTGGCTTATGACTCTGCTGAGGCTGACTGGCTGATAAAAAAATGAAGCTGATGAATCTGCAAAGACTGGGCGATGGTGGGGAAGTGACAGGGTGCATATAACAGCAGCATGAATGAGCTGAAGGCAGGAAGAGATTTATATTTAAAAAGACAGCAGCAAGATGCCAAGCTTAAAATGCAGGTGTGTCACTGCGCTTATTGGATAGAAGCTGAAGAAAACAGCTGATATAGAAAGCAAGGAAATTATGGGTGAGCATGCGTGAGAGGAGTGAACGCAGGATAGAAAAAGAAATTAACTACAGGCCTATATGCAAAAGTATAGTGTTCCTGACTGAACATTCACTATAGCTTCAGTTAAACACTGTCACAAAATGCATTCACTCCTCTGTGTTGCCACACTTAATGATGAGACGAAACAATATAGAGGAGAGGTGCTTCACATGTTTGTATGTTTAGCCTTTATCTTACAGTATAACTAAAGCAAGTGAGTAATTGGTCAGGTTTAAAGCCTGTTTTTTCTTCTTCTTTCTCTATCAGCGACAGCCATGAGAAATCTTGAGAGTTAGATAACCTTTGGCCAGTCCAGGAATTACTGCTCTCTGGTCAAAATGGAGACTCAGGACTTGGTGATGATCTTGTAAACACTCATAAAGAGAAAGTGAGAGAGAAAAAGAAGGAAAGAAAGAGAAAAGAGGAGAGACAGGAATAAAATCACATCTATTTTAGTGCTTGTCATTGATGATTAGTTGCTCTTTGGTGCAAAAAGGCTGTTTCATATAGGCAACATAAATTGTGCTTTTGGTTGCAGGCAATGTTAACACTGATGTAAGGAAATATGATCACAACACTAAAGTAAATACACTAAAGCGTCATACTGCAGTTTCTGTTTTGTTTTGTGTGAAGGCAGATTTTAAAAAGAAGCTCTATTAAAAATATAAATCCTCAACATTCAACCTTTTTAGCACCTGATATATCATTTTGATTCCACAAAATCCATAAAAACAGCTAACCCAGCTTCAAGCTCTTGTTATACCAAATAAATAACGACAGGATAAGAGTAATTTTCCTTAGAATGTGACCTACACCCCATCATTGTGTTGGAGATTAGCTTCTGAACAAGGCTTGTGCTGAGGACCAGAGTCCAGTGTGTGTGTTGTGAGGTGATCATGATAACACCCAGCCAGTATCCAATCCGTGGAGTGAAAGAGGGGCCATAAAGTGCGCAGATAAGCCCTGGATGCTCGGTTTGAATATATACACCACCACACTCATTTCAAATACCACACCTGCACGGGCTCTGGCCTACATGGATTTCTTCAACTGGATCTTTGCTGCACTGCAGGACTGACTTTTGAAACAAAAACATACTCATCCTGTCCAACCATGGTCCATGTGGAGTTGCGGTCGGTCACCCAGCCTGTGGGCATCATGCGAATAATGGCGGCCATCCTCACTTGTATGTGTTTTAGCCTGGTGGCATCAGTGGGATATGTGTCATCTCCCTATTGGGCATGGTGCATGTTCACCTGGTGCTTCTGCTTCTTCTTCACCTTCCTCATTGTCGTCCTGGAGTTCACCACTGTCAATACAAAATTACCTTTCGCCTGGGAAGATTTCACCACTGCCTTCGCTATGCTGGCGACCCTCATGTGCTTTGCCGCCTCCATCATCTACCCCACCTTTTTCACCTGCGCGACCTGCCACCGTCAAATAGGTGCCTCTGTGGTGTCCTGGGTGTGTCTCGGGGTGTATGTAGGAGAAGTGGTCTTAACTCGCCTTCTTCCGAGTGGGGAGAACATTGGGTTCCTCTCCACATTGCCCGGCATAATGAAGATGCTGGAGACGTTCCTCGCCTGTCTGATTTTCACGTCCCTGGAGAAAAGCCAGTTCGGCTCCCCAGAACTGCAGTGGTGCGTGGCCGTGTACTCCTTGTGCTTCATCTTTTCCATCGTGATAATCCTTCTCACCCTTGGAAAGCTGACTTCTTATTTTCCATTTTCTTTTGAGAAGCTAGTGATTGTCTATAACATTTTGGCAGCAGTGGTGTATATGACAGCTATGGTGATCTGGCCACTGTATAGTTTCCGCACCAAGAGACCCAGTAACTGCGGTTCCCTATGTCCCTGGGATAAACTGGTGGTGGTCACATTCATGACGATCTTAAACTGTATTGTTTACACCCTGGACACTGTCTACTCTATACGTCTTGTGTTCTGTGTCAGTAACCAGTGAAAATGTGCCTGGGGTTTGAATTAATGATAACAAAAAACTTGGGACAGGGTTTTATACTGTGCCAGAGTTAGAAAGATGTATTATTGTTGTTGCTTTATATATATATATTCTGCTTATTCTGCTGTTGCTCTCAAAGATGAGTGATAACAATAATGAAATGTTGGCTGCCCAATATATGGAAAATAAACAGACTTAGTTAATGATTCAAACTGTAGTTTCACTGTCATAAAAAATAGCGTGGGAGAACTTTGGATCCTGAGACACAAAGGTTAATTAAACAGTGCAGGTAATAATACTGAGCTCTTACATTAGTTTATTACACTGGGTTACAGTCAAATTATGCCGCCTGTAAATTTACATGTGTTTTCACATTCATGTTCGTTATCTCTATATTTGTGGGTTTGCTGAGAAAAAGAACACGTTGACACTTTTGGAAATGTTCTTGTTCAACTTCTTGATTAGTCATAACTCTTGAGAGTTAGACAACTGATGCCGAATATGATACTGATTGAAAATGTCAGGAAATTATCTTCCTGGTCAATAACAGCCCTGCCCTGTAAAACCACAACATGTTGCTTTCCTTAAGGCATGAAAAACACTGTCTAATGCTTATTGTGATAAATTAATTTCCTAGTGTACTGTAGGGCATTGACCACAGATAAATGTAAACTGAGTGTAGGACATGCACACTGACAGGCAAACAGAACAGCCAATGAAAGATGAGATTGGGTGGAAGAAAAGGAACAAGACAACAGGAAGATTGATGAGACAAAGATGGGGGAGAGAGACAGCGAGATATTTGCAGACTTTGGAAGGTTGTGTGGGAAAAGTGGAAAAGAAAATCCTTTAATCAGCAGGCAGCTGCAACATATGGAGCTGGATTTGTTGAAAGGTGTTATCTTTCTTTTTTCTAATTTAGCTTCTTTTCTTCCTCAGCAATGTGGTGGGCAGGGGTTGAAAGATAGAAAGTTTGACGTCAATTAAGTCTTTTCTTTTTTTAACCAATTGGAAACGTCACCGAAATCTCTCTTGTAATCCTACAGCTATTGTGCTACCTAGCACACCAATCTGTGTGAGTGAACTTGGGTCAAATGGAGCAAGTGAAGCATAGAGTTTTTGCTTTTCTTCTCATGTCAGTCTGTCAGAAAGACGGGGCACATTTAGGTCAATAGTCTATATGTCAGGCACAGCCGCAAATGGCAGAAGGGTCTGCTTTGATTTGGATTACACAGGGGACAAAAATGCATTAAACAGTAGACACATTGAACTTCAGGTGAGAAATTCTACAAAAACTAAACCATTTAGTTTTATGTTAAACTTACAGCAACAATTTGAAAAGCGAAATTGTTTTTATTGTTTTGTTTTTTTCCTTTTGCATACAGTACACTATATATGCACACTTTACAAACACATTTTTTTTTTGCATGCATGCATGCATGCATAGTTCCTTAATTCATTAATATTAACTATTAAAAACTAGTGTAACCATTGGCTCATCTTCTGAACGCATAAAGTTTAGAAAGGATCTCTGAGACTAACAATAGGAAGTTGTGTCTGTGGAAAGAGGTACTTTATGGTTAATCAGATCAATGACATTCCTCCAACCTCCTGTCTCTCTGTTATCTGAATGAAGACTAATGCACGCAGTGGGAACACAGGTTGACAGTGACAATCAGTAACTAGTATCAGTAGAGAAATGAAACTAAGTGAAATGAAATTAAGTGTAGTTTAAACTGAATACATAGTGGTTATTAATGTAAAGCAATCATTCCAGAACTTTTATTGGTAACATTGTCCTCTTATTTAGCCTTTATAAGCAGTAAATGGTTTATAACACACTATAATGTAGTTGTACAGCTATAAGGACATTTTAACTATCTATGATTATACAGTATTTGTCAACAATTATAAATTAATTAAAACCTACATTATTACATAACAGTTTTACTATATTGTCATTCATCTGCTTCTACAGCAGCCTCCACTTTTTGGTGGCCATGACGACTTACAGCTGCTTAATATT